CTTCTTTTAGAAGGTGGGAAACTGACATGATTAATAACTGAGCAGGAGTTGTAAGGATGCCATGTAGTTAAGTAAGGGCCACACCAAGTTAATATTTTTATTATATATTAATTTTTTAAAAATCAAAGACATTCCTGCAACTCAACAGCAAAAAACAAACAACCCAATTAAAAAATGAGCAAAAGGCTTATACAGACAGTTCTCTAAAGAAGATATACCAATGGCCAATAAGCACATGAAAAAATATTCAACATTATTAGTTATTAGGAAAATGCAAATCAAACCACAAAGAGAAAACACTTCACACTACTAGAATGGCTATTATAAAAAATAAATTAAAAATAACCAGTGTTGAGGAGGGTGTGGAGAAATTGGAATTCTTGTGCATTGCTGTCAGGAATGTAAAATGGTGCAACTGCTGTAGAAAACAGTTTGGTGATTCTCAAAAAGTTAAACATTGAGTTACCATATGACCCAGCAATTCCACTCCTATCTATATACCCTAAAGAATTGAAAGCAGGTACTCAAGTAGATACTTGTACACCAATGTTTACAGCAGCATTTTTCACAATAGGGAAAAGGTGGAAACAATCCAAATGTCCATCAACGGATAAATGAATAAACTAAATGTGCAGTATACATACAGAGGAATATTATTCAGTCATATAAAAGAATGAAATTCTGATCGATGCTACAACATGGATGAACCTTGAAAACATTGTACTAATGAAAATAAGCCACACAGAAAAGAACCAATATTGTATGATTCCACTCACATGAATCACCTAGAATAGACAAATCTATAGTACATTAGAGGTCACCAGGGTGTGTGTAGAGGGAGGAGTAGGGAGTTTTTGATTAATGGATACAGAGTTTCTCTTTGGGATGATAAAAAAGTTCTGGAAATAGATAGCAATGATGTTTATACGACATTGTGATTCATGTAATATGGTTCAGTTAATGCCACTGAATTATATACTTGAAAATGGTTAAAATGGCAAATTTTAGTTATATATAGTGCCATGGGCTGAATGTTCATGTCCCTCCAAAATTCATATGTTGAAACCTTAACCCCCACTGTGATGGTATTTGGAGATGGGGCCTTTAGGAGGTCATTGGGGTTAGATGAGGTCATGAGGGTAGGGCCCCATCATGGGATTAGTGCCCTTGTAAGAAGAGATACCATAGAGCTTGCTTTCTCTCTCTATGCGTGCACACTGTGTATGTGTATACAGTGAGAAGACTGTTGTCTTCAGGGCAGGAAGCGAGCCCTCACTAAAACCCAATCATGTTAGCACCTTGATCTTGGATGTCTCAGCCTCCAGAACTGTGAGAAATAAATTTCTGCTGTTTAAGCCACCCAATCTATGGTATTTTGTTATGGCTGTCTGAGTAGGCTAAGACATATTTTACCACAATAACAATTATTTTGAAAAATCTCACAGCAATAGCATTCACATGGTTTTAAAAAAATAAAAATAGCACCAGAAATTTACTGGCATATTTCTAAATAAGATGCTTATATACCTGGTTTTTGGTTTCTCAATTTTGAACATTTTCTGTGGATTTCCATAAGCTTGATGAAGACTTGGTTTTCTCCACACCACCTTCCCTTTCTATGCTCCATAGGCCAGTTAATATTTTGAAGGAGCAGAAAACAT